GTAATTATTGTTCTTCTTTTGTTATTAACTGCTAAGCCATTACAATTATAACTGGCTATACTTATTTCACCACTTACCATAATGAGATACAAGTTTCAAATCTATTTATCATAATATATGTTTGTATATTTACCAATAAATTATAGTGATTGAGTGTCCATATAGCTGTACCATGATATTTGCATTGCTGCTAAGTAACCCTCCAAATGTTCTCCACTATTCCCCCCACTAAAGCCCCTCCCCATCCCAAGTTGGGTTGTCATCCCAGTGATCGGCATACCACCCCTGTCCCCCCGGATCCCTAGGCCCCCCGAGAGGCCAGGACCCATCCTTCGAAAACAGCACACAGTGCCACCCACAAAACAGAAGCAGGTCAACTGCTAAAAGCATTTCCAATGCTCTCACCTCAACATATACGTATATAAAATATATATCTATTCAAATATCTTGCATATCATAATTTCCATCATTATCAATTTATATGCGTAATAATGTCGGCAGTTCATGCAAAGAATTGTTACCTATAACCCGGATTGCCATTGTATTACATTACATTTTTGTCAAGAAATTATTATTTTAGCAAACAATTATTGTGGTTCATCCTATATTCTCCATAACAATCTTACCCCCTTGCAACAGATGTGGGATACACACACACACACACACACACACACACACACATACGCACATACTCTATCACACTCAACCCCTTTCCTCCACAATCAACCATAAGCTCAGATGCTCAACGGTTGTTACATCCCAGAGCCCAACTCAATAAAGGACCTGATTTACGAATGCATATCAGTTACAGCTGTTTGAGAAAGCATGCAAGATTGAGCAAAAATTGACAAAAATGTGAGATTTGATAAACCTATGTCAAGTCCTAGGTGATGGAGGTCAGATCCACCCTCTTCCCCTGAAACACAAACACTCTGGTCCCCCATTGTAACCATTTTCCCCAATCATCTCCGTGCAGTCAGGAGGTTCTCGGGCCTGATCAACCTTACATTCCTCTGAATCTCCCCAGCAGATGGCTTGTATAGCAGAGACCGAAGATGAGATCTTGGTGTTCACTTGTCAGTAGTGACAGTAGAGTTTGTTGTCCCTTGTGCTCTATATCCTGTTTGATATGCATTCAGGAATTTTGTGAATTTCAGGAGGGGTGAATGTTACAGGTAAAATATACTTTATGTACACTACTTTCAAGAGTGTTTTTGGAATGCACATGTTCACAAATGTTCACAAATTCACAAAAAGACGAGCAAAAATTATATCGTCATTGATTTAGTGTTGTTGAACTACTGTCTGCAGGAATATAGATTAGCGTGAATGGGGATAATTTTCGAGTGCAACTTTGATTGCAACTTTACAAGGCTAGCCTTGCTACCATTAGCTTTGTTTGCGGGAAGGGGCTCTTTCAGGTGCAGACAGCATGAGTTTTCTGAAGATTTTCTCACGGGCATTCTGCACTGTCTTTTGTCTTTTATCAGGCAAATATACAGTGGGGAAAAAAGTATTTAGTCAGCCACCAATTGTGCAAGTTCTCCCACTTAAAAAGATGAGAGAGGCCTGTAATTTTCATCATAGGTACACGTCAACTATGACAGACAAATTGAGAAAAAAACATCCAGAAAATCCCATTGTAGGATTTTTAATGAATGTATTTGCAAATTATGGTGGAAAATAAGTATTTGGTCACCTACAAACAAGCAAGATTTCTGGCTCTCACAGACCTGTAACTTCTTCTTTAAGAGGCTCCTCTGTCCTCCACTCGTTACCTGTATTAATGGCACCTGTTTGAACTTGTTATCAGTATAAAAGACACCTGTCCACAACCTCAAACAGTCACACTCCAAACTCCACAATGGCCAAGACCAAAGAGCTGTCAAAGGACACCAGAAACAAAATTGTAGACTTGCACCAGGCTGGGAAGACTGAATCTGCAATAGGTAAGCAGCTTGGTTTGAAGAAATCAACTGTGGGAGCAATTATTAGGAAATGGAAGACAAACAAGACCACTGATAATCTCCCTCAATCTGGGGCTCCACGCAAGATCTCACCCCGTGGGGTCAAAATGATCACAAGAACGGTGAGCAAAAATCCCAGAACCACACGGGGGGACCTAGTGAATGACCTGCAGAGAGCTGGGACCAAAGTAACAAAGCCTACCATCAGTAACACACTACGCCGCCAGGGACTCAAATCCTGCAGTGCGAGACGTGTCCCCCTGCTTAAGCCAGTACATGTCCAGGCCCGTCTGAAGTGCATTTGGATGATCCAGAAGAGGATTGGGAGAATGTCATATGGTCAGATGAAACCAAAATATAACTTTTTGGTAAAAACTCAACTCGTCATGTTTGGAGGACAAAGAATGCTGAGTTGCATCCAAAGAACACCATACCTACTGTGAAGCATGGGGGTGGAAACATCATGCTTTTGGGCTGTTTTTCTGCAAAGGGACCAGGACGACTGATCCGTGTAAAGGAAAGAATGAATGGGGCCATGTATCGTGAGATTTTGAGTGAAAACCTCCTTCCATCAGCAAGGTCATTGAAGATGAAACGTGGCTGGGTCTTTCAGCATGACAATGATCCCAAACACACCGCCCGGGCAACGAAGGAGTGGCTTCGTAAGAAGCATTTCAAGGTCCTGGAGTGGCCTAGCCAGTCTCCAGATCTCAACCCCATAGAAAATCTTTGGAGGGAGTTGAAAGTCTGTGTTGCCCAGCGACAGCCCCAAAACATCACTGCTCTAGAGGAGATCTGCATGGAGGAATGGGCCAAAATACAAGCAACAGTGTGTGAAAACCTTGTGAAGACTTACAGAAAACGTTTGACCTGTGTCATTGCCAACAAAGGGTATATAACAAAGTATTGAGAAACCTTTGTTATTGACCAAATACTTATTTTCCACCATCATTTGCCAATAAATTCATTAAAAATCCTACAATGTGATTTTCTGGAAAAAAAATTCTCATTTTGTCTGTCATAGTTGACGTGTACCTATGATGAAAATTACAGGCCTCTCTCATCTTTTTAAGTGGGAGAACTTGCACAATTGGTGGCTGACTAAATACTTTTTTTCCCCACTGTACTTGTGTACGAGAGTCCAGACGGCAGCATTAACGTTTGCCTTGCATTTGTATCCATTCATGAACTCATTAAAAGAGAGACAACCGGCAAAATTGTGTCCAGAGCCTTCCCTTCCACCTACACCTCACCAGAACGCAACGCAGAAAGGCACGGGTACAGAACCGGTTACAACAGCATGGATTTAAAATGAGGAGATGGACAGGTGAGAGATGGAGAAAATTGAAATTTAGTAGACCTGTGCCACCACTGCGATGACCAGATGCTCTCAAACTTTGAGAGAAAACATAGTCAGATGAAGAAAGAGCAGCTGGAGTAGCAGTATTCTCTGAGGTGATCCATGTCTCCGTCAGGGCCAAAAAGTAAAGGGACAGAAGGGCAGCATAGGCTGAGATGAACTCAGCGTTCTTGACCGCAGATCGGCAGAATCTAAACGATGCCAGAGACCCGGAATTCCACATGGGTTGTGCGCGCAGTGTACACTAAATTAGAAGGGTTGCATTAAAGGGGTGGGGAGCGTCTGTAAAGCCTACAGGGAGAGGTGTGAACAGGCATAGAAAACATACACATAGTTGACGAAGCTACAAAAGAGCAAAATGAGATCATCTGTAAATAACTAGGTAAGATACTCGAGTGAGAGAGTGGTGTGGAGCAGAACAACTCGGCAGAACAACTCTGCAGAACAACTCGGCAGAACAGTCTTTGTTTCGGCGATGGTCTTAGTTTTGCGACAAAACCGCCACTGACACGACCGCCACTTACAGCTGCCGCTAAGAAACCAGGGGAGATTGAAGAACTAACAATAATTCCTGATTGCCTAGGAGAGATGAAACCACTCCCCACCAATCCAGCCACTGATTACCTAAACAAGTCACAAATTGCCCTGCCCCTTGATCCTGGTTGATCTGTCAACAAATATCTGCAAATTATGAGCAGTCAGCAGTTCACACACCAAGTAGGCCACTGGAAAAACAGGCAGCACTTAAAGTAGATGGCCCTAGCTAGCAAAAATACAACAAATAAAGACAAAAAAATGATACTTCTCACTCCTGGAGATATCAGGAGTCCTCTAGCTATAGAATGAAATAGGCTATATGTCATTTTAAACAGCATATAAACACTCTAAATAGGTCATGAGACAGACAGGGATCCTAATAAGGAACGAAAATGAATTATTTAGGATATATTATTTCAATTTTTTCAAGGCCTACAAAGAAATACATTGTGAAGGATTTGCAAGTGCTACACAATAGGCTGGTAGGGACATAAAGCTCTCAGTATTTAAACAACATTTTGTTATATTAAATCATTATAGTCTATAAATTGTGAACATAGGCTGTGACTTACTTAGAATTAAATACAAATTCAACGAAAAATGCCTTTGAGTTCATTTTTAGAAACAGGATTCTGGCCAATCTGTGGCTTCAGGCTCATGCGATGGTGCCTGGAGAGCAGGCCAGCTGCGGAGAATATCCTCTCCACACTTGCAGAGCCACTGGGGATACTAAACACCCTTTTGGCCACTCTTGCCAGGCTGGGCAGAGATGCAGAGTTTTTTTTATAGGTAGGCCTAAAGGTTTTTAGGCAAAATAACCCAATCAAAACTGAAAGCCTGGTTCTGATTATCAGACTGGGCTAGGATGGATGGGGAAGCCCTGACTCATCTTATTATACACAGATGGACTAGACACATAAAGAGGGTGGTATAAGGCTATACAGAGGGACACATAATACATAAACACACACACAAACGCGCACACACAGAACACACAAAACACACACACACAGAACACACAACACACGCTGGTACTTACTTCTGTATGGCATGTGTTAAAGACAGAGCGGTAGATCACACACACACACACACACACACACACACACACACACACACACACACACACACAGTAGTACTTACTCCTGTACGGCGCGTGCTATAGACAGAGCGGTAGATCCGGTCTCGATGACACTGTCCAGGGTTACGTTGGGCAAGTCATCATCGTCACTGTCACTCTTGATGTGCCGCGGCGACAAGCCGTTGTGGTCTGTGTATGCTGCCATGGAGACAGACAAAGAGTTAGTCCCATATTATATATTCTATGGTGTAACATGTGATACTGTTGTAAGGTTACATAAGTTAGACATACAGTGGGGAAAAAAAGTATTTAGTCAGCCACCAATTGTGCAAGTTCTCCCACTTAAAAAGATGAGAGAGGCCTGTAATTTTCATCATAGGTACACGTCAACTATGACAGACAAATTGAGATTTTTCTTTCCAGAAGATCACATTGTAGGATTTTTTATGAATTTATTTGCAAATTATGGTGGAAAATAAGTATTTGGTCACCTACAAACAAGCAAGATTTCTGGCTCTCACAGACCTGTAACTTCTTATTTAAGAGGCTCCTCTGTCCTCCACTCGTTACCTGTATTAATGGCACCTGTTTGAACTTGTTATCAGTATAAAAGACACCTGTCCACAACCTCAAACAGTCACACTCCAAACTCCACTATGGCCAAGACCAAATAGCTGTCAAAGGACACCAGAAACAATATTGTAGACCTGCACTAGGCTGGGAAGGCTGAATCTGCAATAGCTAAGCAGCTTGGTTTGAATAAATCAAATGTGGGAGCAATTATTAGGAAATGGAAGACATACAAGACCACTGATAATCTCCCTCGATCTGGGGCTCCACGCAAGATATCACCCCGTGGGGTCAAAATGATCACAAGAACAGTGAGCAAAAATCCCAGAACCACACGGGGGGACCTAGTGAATGACCTGCAGAGAGCTGGGACCAAAGTAACAAAGCCTACCATCAGCAACACACTACGCCGCCAGGGACTCAAATCCTGCAGTGCGAGACGTGTCCCCCTGCTTAAGCCAGTACATGTCCAGTCCCGTCTGAAGTTTGCTAGAGTGCATTTGGATGATCCAGAAGAGGATTGGGAGAATGTCATGTGGTCAGATGAAACCAAAATATAACTTTTTGGTAAAAACTCAACTCGTCGTGTTTGGAGGACAAAGAATGCTGAGTTGCATCCAAAGAACACCATACCTACTGTGAAGCATGGGGGTGGAAACATCATGCTTTGGGGCTGTTTTTCTGCAAAGGGACCAGGACGACTGATCCGTGTAAAGGAAAGAATGAATGGGGCCATGTATCGTGAGATTTTGAGTGAAAACCTCCTTCCATCAGCAAGGGCATTGAAGATGAAATGTGGCTGGGTCTTTCAGCATGACAATGATCCCAAACACACCGCCCGGGCAATGAAGGAGTGGCTCGTAAGAAGCATTTCAAGGTCCTGGAGTGGCCTAGCCAGTCTCCAGATCTCAACCCCATAGAAAATCTTTGGAGGGAGTTGAAAGTCCGTGTTGCCCAGCGACAGCCCCAAAACATCACTGCTCTAGAGGAGATCTGCATGGAGGAATGGGCCAAAATACCAGCAACAGTGTGTGAAAACCTTGTGAAGACTACAGAAAACGTTTGACCTGTGTCATTGCCAACAAAGGGTATATAACAAAGTATTGAGAAACTTTTGTTATTGACCAAATACTTATTTTCCACCATCATTTGCAAATAAATTCATTAAAAATCCTACAATGTGATTTTCTGGATTTTTTTTTCTCATTTTGACTGTCACAGTTGACGTGTACCTATGATGAAAATTACAGGCCTCTCTCATCTTTTTAAGTGGGAGAACTTGCACAATTGGTGGCTGACTAAATACTTTTTCCCCCACTGTATGATAAGGTTTATGTGTGCTGCCATTAGACACAAACACAGAAGACAAAGACAGAAGTCCCGTATTACAGTATATACTGTACCATACAGACAATACACATTACAAGCCAAAAAACTTCATGATACAAACTTTGTCTATCAACAACCACTCCTTAAAAAATATATATATCATAGTAAATATCAAATGATTCTACTGTATGTACAGTATCTAATAACAGTCCAACATATCAGACAGACTCTCTTTGTTTTCTGTAATATAATTTGTTCTTAGTGTACATGGTTTCCAGTTACTGGGAGTAAAAATAAAGTCCCTATATGTTGCTATTTTGATATTCTTCAAATAATATGGCTTCACAGAATACTGAAGTGCTCCTCATCAGCTGTAGCCCTTTTTTCCTCTCGGTGTCAACCAAGTTCTTCAAACCACCTAACCTGTCTGAGACCGATGTCTCAGTCCTAGTCTTATTGCTCTGACATAAAGTGGGGTTCGAAATGATTGACACCCTTGATAAAGATGAGCAATAATGACTGTATAAAATAAATAATTAAAATACTGATCTATATTGTATGCTCAAAAAATTTGGGAAATTATATTTTATAATACTATTGCTCAGAGAAAGATATTTAGTTTAACAAGTAATATATATTTTTTCTTGAAAAGGTAGGGGTCAAAATTTCCTGTTATTGGTTATGGTGAGAGGTTATAATGTCTTTGGGGTATGATCTCTCTATCTTTCTCACTCATCATTATTCACAATTCATTCAGGATTATTCCGTAATCACATTAATGTAGAAGGGTTTAGAAACATATTTTATTCTTATTTACAATAGAAGTGACTGCAAAATGACACATTATTTACCATTAATTCATTTTGGTCACAAAATAATCTGAAACACAACCAAAACAAACTGCAAATGCATCCAACAAGTTTGTAGAGTAACAAACTTGATGTAGTCATTGTGTGCTAGGAACATGGGACCAAATACTAAACTTTTGACTACTTTATTTATAAGAATCTTTAGGGGTGTCAATCATTTTGACCCCTACCTTTTTGAGAAAAAAATATATTACTTATATATCTTTCTCTGGGCAATTGTATTAGTGTAAAATATTATCAATTTCCCTTCTTTTTTTTGCATACAATACACCTCATTATTTGAATTATATATTTTATACAGTCATTATTACTCATCTTTATCAAGGGTGTCAATAATTTCAGACTCCACTGTACTTTCTTTGAATTTCATTCATACTCATATCCAATACATTAAATTCCATTCATTGATTTTAATTTAAAGAAAAGCTATGATCAAGGTCACGTCACTTCACTTCATAGAAAATCTGATGTTTTTCAGAGTCTGAATACTAGCTGTGTTTTCTCTCCTCTGCATCGAACAGCAATCAAAGCTACAGCCCTCTTGCCCGCCACCCTGTCTGCAGACCACAATAGAATCTGAAAACATCCAACACATCCTGTAGGGTAGACACTGTGTGAACCCCTGTGTGTGTGTACATGTGTTTTTCCATGCTTATGTCCGTGTGTGTGTGTTGTGTGTGGTAGTGATGCGCGGGTCAGCTGTTTGTTCACCCGCACCCGCCCCCAATTGCTAAATTCCCCTCCGTAACCACCCAACTATATGTAATATAGTGAAAATCTAAGTTCCACACCTGACCCTAACCCGCAAATATAGGAAATGTGCTGCACAGTCAGAGATGGTGGAACGTTTTATTGACAGGCCTTTTTAGGCCTGTGTTTCTGCTTATAAATTCAGACATTTTAGTAGGCTATTTGTTAGTCAACTTTTCTATAATTACACTGAACAAAAATATAAACGCAACATGTAAAGTGTTGGTCCCATTTTTCATGAGCTGAAATAAAAGATTCCAGAAATTTTCCATATGCACAAAAATATTATTTCTCTAAAATGTTGTGCACAAATTTGTTTACATCCCTGTTAGTGAGCATTTCTCATTTTCCAAGATAATCCATCTACCTGACAGGTGTGGCATATCAAGAAGCTGATTAAACAGCATGATCATTACACAGATTAACCTTGTGCTGGGGACAATAAAAGGCCACTCTAAAATGTGCAGTTTTGTCACACAACACAATGCCACACATGTATGTTTCATGTTTCAGCATGATAATGCACGGCCCCTTGTCGTCAGGGTCTAACACAATTTCTGGAAGCTGAAAGTGTCCCTGTTCTTCCATGGCCTGTATACTCACCTGACATGTCACCCATTGAGCAAGTTTGGGGTGCCCTGGATCGATGTGTACGACAGCGTGTTCCAGTTCCCGTCAATATCCAGCACATTTGCACAGCCATTGAAGCGGAGTGGGACAGCCTGATCAACTCTATGCGATGGAGATGTGTCGCGCTGCATGACGCAAATGGTAGTCACACCAGATACTGACTGGTTTTTTGATCCACACCCCTACTTATTTTTGACCAACAGACTAAATAAACCCTTATAATTTCATAAATCAATAGAATGAATGCTTCAATCTAGTTGACATCGTTAAAGTTTGTTTTCTCTTTCCTCATCTCTGCCTCTCTCGCACAGTAATGACTTAAATGTAAAGACGTTTAGGGACCGGGGAGAAAATGCAATAACAAAAAAAAAAACTGGAAAGAATTTCCATGCAACATTTCCAAATTACATCAGTTTGATCGTTTTAAGGAAATTAAAAGCTGCTAAAACGACCCAACATGGTTTTAATAAGATTTCAGTTTGGCGTGGATGTATATTTTATGTGGTTTACATACTATCAGCTTTTATGATTTTGTGGTCCTCTGTAGCTCAATTGGTAGAGCATGGCGCTTGTAACGCCAGGGTAGTGGGTTCCATCCCCGGGACCACCCATACGTAAAACTTTATGCACACATGACTGTAAGTCACTTTGGATAAAAGCGTCTGCTAAATGGCATATTATTATTATTATTATTATTATTATTATTATTATTATTATTATTATAATAATAATTAAGATAGCACTTTTACAGACGGTCCCTAACCGTGCATTCATTCTCTCAAGATGCTGAAAGAAATAAATCATATTTCTCCACTCCTGTTCCCGAGTCAAAATTTGGTGTATCATTTTACTGCAAGAAATGCTTAATTCTGCAGGAGTTAATATTGTAAAGGTTATAGACCTACAGTTAGTGTCCAGATTTCAGTCAGGCTACTATTTCATTTAACCCATCTGAACAGTACAGTTCCCTTGACGTGCCATTTTGAAGTCCCCGTCTTGTGACTGTCGAAATTGTATAGTGTCTCACAGTCGTCACACATAACATCCTAATCCTCTTTTACTACTTCACCAAATCTTTCCCAGACATTAGACTACTGTTCTGGCCCTCCCTTCTCTTTATTTTCAACTCTCCATTTCACAGCTTTTCTATTATTGAATTAAACTCCCGACATTGTCCTTTTTGCCTCATTGGCTCAGGCCCTAAAGCTTAGGCTACTCACTAACATCAGATAAAAATAATGAAAGAAAAACCTCAATGTAGCCTATAGATACGAATTTCACAAAGAATTATACATTTATGGATCTTTATTCAACCAGAGTGACACTGCTCATACCATGCTACAAGCTGTCCTGCCCTCAGGCCAGTTGTCCGGTTTGATTGACAGCTCCTGACAGGAAGTGCCTGCCGGGTCTACAGTGAGGATGGGCCCACCCCAGAGACACCCACAAACACACATGTGCAGACACACACACACAAATATGCATATGCACACACACACACACACACACACACGTTATCAGCCACTATCGCCCTCGCCCTGTAGATAAGAAGCTGGGTGGTGCAGTGTATTTTGGCGTTGTTGTTATCTCTGAGCAGTGGGTGGGGCACGTCTTGATAATGATAGCCCGTCAAGTGTGTGTATGTGTCAGTGGAGGCGGCTGAGGGGAGGATGGCTCATAATATGGAAACCATGTGTTTGATGATGTTGATACCTTTACACTTATTCCGCTCCAGCCATTACCACATGCCTGTCTTCCCCAATTAATATGCCACCAACCTCCTGTGGTACGTGTGTTTGTGTGTGTATTATAGAGATGGAAAGAGGTCTCATCATTGCATTTGTGCTATTATGGCGTCTGACAGCATGGGCAGTGCCATTCTCCATTTTAAAGTAGTCAACTTCTTTTGTGTTTGAAAAAAGTGTAAAGCTTATGATGGTGATTTACAGCCACCTGTTTCACTTTGTTTCACTCAGTTATTGTGGCCAATAGATGGCGGTGTTAAAGCCATTTACAAACCAAAGCACCCAATTTGAAAGAGAAGACAACCAACGATGATCTATTACAGGGTCATAGGCACAGGAGCCAGGCCCACCCAATCAGATTGAGCAAAACATATTTTTATTTGTAATACTTGTCAGTGTTATAAACGGGACATTATGTGTCTTTTTACCTAAACATGCAAACACCATCAGATAGAATTCATAGCAAGCAGTGGACTGGGTTAGTCAGATTTGATGAAATGTAACAGAACAGATGAACTGGAATGACATTCAGTCTCACGGGATGGTTTGCCAAAAAGAACTAACTGAAAGCCACACACCCAATATGTCACGAATATGACTGTATTAAGGCATATGTCACTGTGCTTCTATGGCTATATGCACCATGCCATTGCCTATTTCATTTATTCATTCAGCAAAAAAGACAGTTTATAATCCAGTGCCTTTATCACACACCTATATTTTAGCTTTAATTAGCTTTAAAAATGCCAAATGTTCTTTCAGACTCATGGCGAGATGTGTAGAATAGCATGAGATGAGCTATCAAACTGCACATTTTCCTCTGCCCCATGGCAAAATGTGTAGAATTGCAGGAAATCTGCTTTGAAACAGGAATATTTTCTCTCAGCGTCATGGCAAAATGAGAATAGCATAAAATTAGTTATAAAACCGCACATTTATCTCTTTGCACCATGGCAAAATTGCAGGACGTTAGCTACTTTCCCACCCATTTTCTGCAGGCCCACCCACCAATTAATGTCTGTCTACACCAGTGATCTATTACATTGACAAGATAGCCAAGCAACTCTCTAACAATGGAAATACACTCAATGAGTGAAGGCAAGTGAGGTCAGGTGGGACCATTCTTGCCAATGAGAAGGCAGATAAGCGTGTGCATAACAGGTCTCATCACTAAGTTGTTTTTCTCAAAGTTGCCGGAATGCCACGTGCATCCACTTATATCAGTACATTTGTAACAGCCCTAAACATTACTAAACTTATATTTGATCAAATAAGCCTAGTGTAATTCCATACTGTCTCATAGACCTCCATACAAAAAAGGGCTTCTCTCTCGCGGACAGATTTTGGCCGGAGTAAATCCTCTCAATTCGCCTCTTCCTCTCCGTCCCAACCCATAGGAATCCCACCCAGTTGACTACTTTAAAATGGTGGAAGCCCTCAATAACAATTTCCATACTAAAACAGGTTACATCCAAGTTGAGTCCTCCATCTATCTCTATGGTGTGTCTACGGTACATGTTGGATGAGCTTTAGAAAAAAAAACAAAAAAACACTGTCTATCTCTCCTACAGCAGGCATCTCTCAAAAGCTTAAAAGATTGAAACAAAATATTACGTTTTTTTGCATATCGCGTATCTGTGAGGTATGAAAATATTGGATTTAACCTTAAGCAGGGAGTCATGTTGAGACTACGGTCTCTTCACTCTGCATGAACACATCAATAAACAACAATGACACTATCCATAGCTACACTGAGTATACAAAACATACTTTCCATGACATAGACTTACCAGGTGAAAGCTATGATCCATTATTGATGTCACTTGTTAAATCCATTTCAATCAGTGTAGATGAAGGGGAGGAGACAGGTTAAATAAAGATTTTGAGCCTTGAGACAATTGAGACATGGATTGTGTATGTGTGCCATTCAGAGGGTGAATGGGCAAGACAAAAGATTGAAGTGCCTTTGAACAGGGTATGGTAGTAGGTGTTTTAATGCTCAACAGTTTCCCTTGTGTATCAGTTCCGGTGTATCAAGAATGGTCCACCACCATTCTTGATACACACGGGGTGCAACTGAATATTAGGAAGGGGTTCCTAATGTTTGGTATACTCATCCATTACACATGAAAAGCAAACATAAAACACAAAAAGCAAAACACAATCATATCAAACAAACACATTCTTCAGTACAAAAGGCCCTCTAACATCCACCTGAATTGCCCAAGATTTTAAGGAGTTTTGGAGACAATTCCACATGAGAGGAGCAAAAAAACTCAAAGAAGATTTACCTAACTCGTTGAAGATTGGAGGGATCTCCAGGGTTAGCCATCCCTGAGTCCGGGTCTGGTAACTTATAAGTCTGAAGGTTAACAATGAGGTAAGGTATGCCGGAAGTTTATGCAAGAGGGCTTTATAGACAAAAGAGCGCAATGCATCGATCTACGAGACTTCAAAGACAGACAGCCTACTTTCTGATACAAAATGCAATGATGTGTACTGAACCTATCGCCCGTAATAAAGTGCAATGCGCTATGATAAACGGTGTCCAATGGCTTCAATACAGTGGCAGCTGCATTCCTATAGATGATATTGCCATAGTCAATAACCAGAATTAATTTTGACTGAATTATTTGTTTTCTGCTATTTAACAAAAGAACACAGGCTTACTTTTGAAAACGGAGCTTTTCTCACTGTGTAATCCTGCGGTGGGTAACAGGGAACACAGTGTGTGCATGGTCTTCATTCTAGACCACGGATAGTTGTTTTAGTGCTGGGCTGGAACAAAAGCCTGCACTCCCCACAATAGGAATTAAGTTGTCCATCCCTGATTATCCACAGTTTAACTTCCCTCAGTTACAAAGCTCAATTCTACCTGTGAAATCTCTTTTCATTGCCCATTCTCTAGCTAAGCATAGTACCATAGAGGTAGACGCGAAGCGAGAGGGTTTACTCCACCCCAAATATGTCCAAAGAAATCAATGAGAGAGTGTCGAATTTGGTCAACAAAAAAATGTAATTGCTAATTTGCTACAGAAGGTTAATTTGAAGTTTCGTGATGGTTTGGTTATTACGAATGCACTGACATAAGTGGACACACGTGGCATTTCGGCAACAACAACAACAAAAAACTTCATATCGGAGCTGTGCCTGTTGTTCACACACATACAGTGCCTTCGGAAAGTATTCAGACCCCTTGACATTTTCCACATTTTGTTACGTTACAGCCTTATTCTAAAATGGATTAAATAAATACAAATCCTCAACAATCTACAGTCGTGGTCAAAAGTTTTGAGAATGACACAAATACTAATTTTCACAAAGTCTGCTGCCTCAGTTTTGATGATGGCAATTTGCATATACTCCAGAATGTCATGAAGAGTGATCAGATGAATTGCAATTAATTGCAAAGTCCCTCTTTGTCATGAAAATGAACTTAATCCCCAAAAAATATTTCCACTGCATTTCAGCCCTGCCACAAAAGGACCAGCTGCCATCATGTCAGTCATTCTCTCGTTAACACAGGTGAGAGTGTTGTCGAGGACAAGGCTGGAGATCACTCTGTCATGCTGATTGACTTAGAATAACAGACTGGAAGCTTTAAAAGGAGGGTGGTGCTTGAAATCATTGTTCTTCCTCTGTTAACCATGGTTACCTGCAAGGAAACACGTGCCGTCATCATTGCTTTGCACAAAAAGGGCTTCACAGGCAATGATATTGCTGCTAGTAAGATTGCACCTAAATCAACCATTTATCGGATCATCAAGAACTTCAAGGAGAGAGGATCAATTGTTGTGAAGAAGGCGTCAGGGCACCCAAGAAAGTCCAGCAAGCGCCAGGACCGTCTCCTAAAGTTGATTCAGCTGCGGGATCAGGGCACCACCAGTGCAGAGCTTGCTCAGGAATGGCAGCAGGCATGTGTGAGTGCAACTGCACGCACAGTGAGGCAAAGATTTTTGGAGGATGGCCTGGTGTCAAGAAGGGCAGCAAAGAAGCCACTTCTCTCCAGGAAAAACATCAGGGACAGACTGATATTCTGCAAAAGGTACAGGGATTGGACTGCTGAGGACTGGGATAAAGTCATTTTCTCGGATTAATCCCCTTTCCGATTGTTTGGGGCATCCGGAAAAGACAAGGTGAGAGCTACCATCAGTCCTGTGTCATGCCAACAGTAAAGCATCCTGAGACCATTCATGTGTGGGGTTGCTTCTCAGCCAAGGGAGTGGGCTCACTCACAATTTTGCCTAAGAACACAGCCATGAATAAAGAATGGTACCAACACATCGTCTGAGAGCAACTTCTCCCAATCATACAAGAACAGTTTGGTGACGACCAATGCCTTTTCCAGCATGATGGAGCACCTTGCCATAAGGCAAAAGTGATAACTAAGTGGCTCGGGGAACAAAACATCGAGATTTTGGGTCCATGACCAGGAAACTCCCCAGACCTTAATCCCATTGAGAACTTGTGGTTGATCCTCAAGAAGCGGGTGGACAAACAAAAACCCACAAATTCTGACAAACTCCAAGCATTGATTATGCAAGAATGGGCTGCCATCAGTCAGGATGTGGCCCAGAAGTTAATTGACAGCATGCCAGAGCAGATTGCAGAGGTCTTGAAAAAGAAGGGTCAACACTGCAAATATTGACTCTTTGCATAAACTTAATGTAATTGTAAATAAAAGTATTTGACACTTATGGAATGCTTGTAATTATCCTTCAGTATACCATAGCAACATCTGACAAAAATATCTCATAACACTGAAGCAGCGAACTTTGTGAAGACCAATACTTGTGTCATTCTCAAAAACATTTGACCACGACTGTACACAAAATAATACCCCATAATGATCAAGCGAAAACAGGTTTTTATACATTTTTACTTAAGTATTCAGACACTTTGCTATGAGACTCGAAATTGAGCTCAGGTGCATCCTGTTTCCATTGATCATCCTTGAGATGTTTCTACAACTTGATTGGAGTCCACCTGTGGTAAATTCAATTGATTGGACATGATTTGGAAAGGAATCTAAGACAGGATTTTGTCGAGGCACAGATCTGGGGAAGGGTACCAACAAATGTCTGCAGCATTGAAGGTCCACAAGAACACAGTGGCCTCCATAATTCTTAAATGGAAGAAGTTTGGAACCACCAAGACTCTTCCTAGAGCTGGCCGCCCGGCCAAACTGAGCAATCGGGGGAGTTGGCCCTGGTCAGGGAGGTGACCAAGAACCCGATGGTCAGTCTGACAGATTTCTAGAGTTCCTCTGTGGAGACGTGAGAATCTTCCAGAAGGACATCAATCTCTGCAGCACTCCACCAATCAGGCCTTTATGGTAGCGTGGCCAAACGGAAGCCACTCCTCAGTAAAAGGCACATGACAAGCCCACTTGGAGTTTGCCAAAAGGCACCTAAAGAATCTCAGACCATGAGACACATGATTCTCTGGTCTGATGAAACCAAGATTGAACTCTTTGGCCTGAATGCCAAGCGTCACGTCTGCAGGAAACCTGGCACCATCCCTACGGTGAAGCATAGTGTTGGCAGCATCATGCTGTGGGGTTGACCTTTGCCAGATCTGTGCCTCAACACAATCCTGTCTCGGAGCTCTACGAACAATTCCTTCGACCTCATGGCTTGGTCTTTGTGCTGACACTCAACTGTGGGACCTTATATAGACAGGTGTGTGCCTTTCCAAATCATGTCCAATCAATTGAATTTACCACAGGTGGACTCCAATCAAGTTGTAGAAACAGGATGATCAATGGAAACAGGATGCACCTGAGCTAAATGTTTTGTCTGATAGCAAAGGTTTTGAACACTTATGTAAATAAGGTATCTGTTTTATTTTTAATACATTTGCAAAACTTCTAAAAGCCTGTTTTTGCTTCGTCGTTATGGGGTATTGTGTGTAGATTGATGAGGATAAAAAAATAATATATCCATTGTTGAATAAGGCTGTAACTTAACAAAATGTGGAAAAAGTCAAGGGGTCTGAATACTTTCCGAATGCACTGTATCTTGATGCTACTCTCTCTACCCAATCTACTAGCTCAGCTGCTGTCTCAGAGCAGATCAGACAGTGGCCATAATGGTCTCTAATAACACAGGTCTGGAGCCAGGAGACAGACATGGTGTTAGTACCTGAACTGCGATCAAATATTAATCAAACCCTTGCAAATACTTTAAAGGGATAGCGTTTTTCTACTTACCCAGAGTCAGATTAACTCATGGATAAAATTGTTATGTCTTGGCGTGCAGTTTGGAGATAATTGAAGTTAGCATATTGTTAGCTTAGTGCAATTTGCTGGAAGTCTGCAGCTACAATAGCCAGCTCCTCTCAAAACCAGAGAACTAGACCTTCTAGCTATTCCAAAGTTGGGTGGTTAGCACTTTGTACTCTATTAATACAAAAAAACGATGGTTTATGTGAAATATTAGCTTTTGTCTTAAACCGAAAAAGACAGGAAATTCAAAAGCTAATTTGACCTATGCACTAACAAGGCTTTTCAGCATAAGCAGCTTGACTAGTGCTAGAGTACTGTATCTTTATTGATCTACTGTACTTCAACAACAGATGTACTCACATTGGATGTGTTGATTAGGATTCAAACCTTCTCTCAAACAGCCTAATACTTACTCTTAGAGTAGATTTACCCCATTAATGTACTTGGTCATGTAAACATGTTTTTTCATGTAAGACATAATCCCATTTCACTCATTTAAACATTATGTGGAGGTTTTCCTGGACATAGATTAATCCTAGTCCTGGACTAAAAACCAAGATCAATAGAAAATCTCCAGCCAAAATTATTTATAGTCCAGGACTAAGTGTAATCTGTGTCCTCGAAACCGCTCCTTAACCCTACATTTGTCCAAGGCTAACACATAAGCCTAATAAGATGGGAAATGGACAAGGTTGTTGACAGCTTTTGAACATGTTTTGAAGCTATACATAGATTTTGTTCCTGTTATAAACAATGGAGTAATGTAACCTTATATTTTGGGTTATGATAGGGTAAGACAGTTACGCTATGCTCTTGAGACATTTATAAGTTATAGTATTTAAAGCAGAGGCGGCACCACAGGTTAAAAAGTGGTGTGGCAAAATGTGTACGCGTCTTTCCTTGGGCCTGGAGTTTTTCCTGATGTCATGACCTGGTCAGGTAAAACTCCTATTCATAGGCTATGACAGGGTCCAACGCTAACTTTTTTTCTCACTAGCACAACCGGGGCCATTTGGCAAAAAATCTAGTTTTTAAAGCATTGGAGTGTTGCAGGGCCTATAGGTTTGGCATGCTTTCTCACTATATGCAGATATTAATAGGCTATTTATAATGAAACAATTAATTAAAAAAATGTTGGGTGCTTTTATTTGTCCTATTTCACACATGGTGTGTATTAATACTTATGTGTGAATTGAAAATGTGTTTTTTGCATGTCCCAACTCTCCCAGAGACACCCTCGGACAGTGTGGTCACAGCCAGGGTCTGCCACTATTAACGGCAAACTGGAGCAATTAAGGTTAAGTGCCTTGCTCAAGGGCACATCAACAGATGTTTCACCTTGTCGGTTTATGGATTTTAAAAAGTAACCATTCGGTTACTGGCACAACGATCTAACTGCAAGGCTACCTGCTGCTACCTTTGCGTATTCTGAAGCTGTTTAATAGAATTTAGCAATGCATGTCATTACTATATTCTTAAGAATTGCATTGTATTAATTGCATTCATTATGGTTTGTAAAGTACACTACAGTATATATGCAAAAGTAAGTGGACATCCCTTCAAATTAGTGGATTCAGCTATTTCAGCCACACCCGTTGCTGACAGGTGTAAAATAAATTGCACAGCCATGCGATCTCCATAGACAAACATTAGCAGTAGAATGTCCTTACTGAAGAGCTGTGACTTTCAACGTGGCACCGTCATAGGATGCCACCATTCCAACAAGTCAGTTCCGCGACTCCTCGATGGACACAGACGATTTATGCATTTCACCACCGGGAAAGTAAGTGTGGAAACTGACTTGCTAAAGTCGATAAATGATAAACTGGGCACACTTGAACTAGTCAGTAAAGATATAATGGAGTTGAAGGCTTGAGATGAATGAGACGAAAAAGCTGTGACAATGGAGAAAGAAACAAACAGGCTAAAAGGTACAGTCAATACGATTGAAACGGACATTAAAGAACTTTGCTAATGCCAGAGCCCATGTGTGTCTGCGAGCAGGAGTTGTGACAGAGAGAGCATTCAATTCTGTACAGATATGGGATATACATTTTAAAATAAATATATTTTATTTATTTATTGTCCTATCATGATGGAACGGTCCCCAACGCTATACCCTAGACACCCACCTGAGCGACCACATACAGTGGGGAAAAAAAGTATTTAGTCAGCCACCAATTGTGCAAGTTATCCCACTTAAAAAGATGAGAGAGGCCTGTAATTTTCATCATAGGTACACGTCAACTATGACAGACAAATTGAGAAGAACAAAATTCCAGAAAATCACATTGTAGGATTTTTTATGAATTTATTTGCAAATGATGGTGGAAAATAAGTATTTGGTCACCTACAAACAAGCAAGATTTCTGGCTCTCACAGACCTGTAACTTCTTCTTTAAGAGGCTCCTCTGTCCTCCACTCGTTACCTGTATTAATGGCACCTGTTTGAACTTGTTATCAGTATAAAAGACACCTGTCCACAACCTCAAACAGTCACACTCCAAACTCCACTATGGCCAAGACCAAAGAGCTGTCAAAGGACACTAGAAACAAAATTGTAGACCTCCACCAGGCTGGGAAGACTGAATCTGCAATAGGTAAGCAGCTTGGTTTGAAGAAATCAACTGTGGGAGCAATTATTAGGAAATGGAAGACATACAAGACCACTGATAATCTCCCTCGATCTGGGGTGCCACGCAAGATCTCACCCCGTGGGGTCAAAATGATCACAAGAACGGTGAGCAAAAATCCCAGAACCACACGGGGGGACCTAGTGAATGACCTGCAGAGAGCTGGGACCAAAGTAACAAAGCCTACCATCAGTAACACACTACGCCGCCAGGGACTCAAATCCTGCAGTGGCAGACGTGTCCCCCTGCTTAAGCCAGTACATGTCCAGGCCCGTCTGAAGTTTGCTAGAGTGCATTTGGATGATCCAGAAGAGGATTGGGAGAATGTCATATGGTCAGATGAAACCAAAATAGAACTTTTTGGTAAAAAGCTCAACTCGTCGTGTTTGGAGGACAAAGAATCCTTTGTTGCATCCAAAGAACACCATACCTACTGTGAAGCATGGGGGTGGAAACATCATGCTTTGGGGCTGTTTTTCTGCAAAGGGACCAGGACGACTGATCCGTGTACAGGAAATAATTAATGGGGCCATGTATCGTGAGATTTTTTGTGAAAACCTCCTTCCATCAGCAAGGGCATTGAAGATGAAACGTGGCTGGGTCTTTCAGCATGACAATGATTCCAAACACACCGCCCGGGCAACGAAGGAGTGGCTTCGTAAGAAGCATTTCAAGGTCCTGGAGTGGCCTAGCCAGTCTCCAGATCTCAACCCCATAGAAAATCTTTGGAGGGAGTTGAAAGTCCGTGTTGCCCAGCGACAGCCCCAAAACATCACTGCTCTAGAGGAGATCTGCATGGAGGAATGGGCCAAAATACCAGCAACAGTGTGTGAAAACCTTGTGAAGACTTACAGAAAACTTTTGACCTGTTTCATTGCCAACAAAGGGTATATAACAAAGTATTGAGAAACTTTTGTTATTGACCAAATACTTATTTTCCACCATAATTTGCAAATAAATTCATTAAAAATCCTACAATGTGATTTTCTGGATATTTTTTTCCTTATTTTGTCTGTCATAGTTGACGTGTACCTATGATGAAAATTACAGGCCTCTCTAATCTTTTTAAGTGGTAGAACTTGCACAATTGGTGGCTGACTAAATACTTTTTTTCCCCACTGTACACTAAGGAGAAGTCCTTATGTGTTTTATAGGCCTACTGCAAGAAGCCTATATGCAGCAAAAACAGAAAGGTACATGCGGTCAGAGACACACTAAAGCAGCACCGCCCAATCAAGATTCTGAGCCTGCCTGGCAGGGTTGGTCCTACAAAGCCAAAGCCCCTCGATGGGTAAGCATAATATACAAGGAATTTCTCAAAGCTGCTAATGAGAACCTTGACAACTTTAGCTGGTGGGGATTCCGGTGGGGTGCCCCCACCCAGGTAGTGGGAGTGCTGGCACTGGGGACGGGGTCACACTCGGACAAACAGAAAGGGGGCAAATTAAATAATAATAATGTCTGACTGCACAGAGATGCTTGGGAAAATGGTCACAAAGGGGGACCAGCGTGTATGTGTTTCAGGGTAGGGGGGTGTATCTGAGAGCCATCAGCTAGGACTTGATATTGGTTAATCAAATCTCCCCATTCTTGCTCAATTTTGCATGCCTTCTCAAACAGCTACAACTGTATATGCATTCGCACATCAAGATCTTTCTTGAGTTAGTCTCGGGAATGGAACAAATGTTTAACATCTGAGCTTGTGGTTGTTTGTGGGGGGAGGGTGAGGAGTGTGTATGAGTGTCTGTGTGTGTGTGTGTGTGTGTGTGTGTGTGTGTGTGTGTGTGTGTGTGTGTGTGTGTGTGTGTGTGTGTGTGTGTGTGTGTGTGTGTGTGTGTGTGTGTGTGTGTGTATCCCACATCTGTTGCTATAGGGTAATGATGTTACGGACAATATAGGATGAATCACAATAATTGTTTGCTAAACCTATAATTGCTTGCCAAAAATGTAATTTTTATAATGGCAATCCTGGTTATATGTAACAATCCTTCGCATGAACTGCCTAAATTATTATGCATATTATTTGTTAATTGTGGAAATTAAGATCCGCAAGATTTTTGTTATTTACAGTACCAGCCAAAAGTTTGGACACACCTGCTTATTCAAGGGTTTTTCTTTATTTTTACTATTTTCTACATTGTAGAATAATAGTGAAGACATCAAAACCATGAAATAACACATATGGAATCAAGTAGTAACCAAAAGAGTAGACACCCTTTGCCTTTATGACAGCTTTGCACACTCTTGGCATGATGCTTCCACCACCATGCTTCACCGTAGGGATGATGCCCGATTTCCTCCAGACGTGACACTTGGCATTCAGGCCAAAGAGTTCAATCTTTGTTTCATCAGACCAAAGAATATTGTTTCTCATTGTCTGAGAGTCCTTTAGGTGCCTTTTGGCAAACTCTAATCGGGCTGTCGTGCCTTTTACTGAGGAGTGGCATCCGTATGGCCACGCTACCATAAAGGGCTAATTGTTGGAGTGCTGCAGAGATGGTTGTCCTCCTGGAAAGTTCTCCCATCTCCACAGAGGAACTCTGGAGCTCTGTCAGAGTGACCATCGGGTTCTTGGTCACCTCCCTGACCAAGGCCCTTCTCCCCCAAGTGCTCAGTTTGGCCGGGCAGTCAGCTCTAGGAAGAGTCTTGGTGGTTTAAACTTCTTCCATTTAAGAATGATGGAGGTCACTCTTATTGGGGACCTTCAATGCTGCAGACATTCTTTGGTACCTTTTCCCAGATCTGTGCCTTGACACAATCCTGTCTCGGGGCTCTATGGACAATTCCTTCAACCTCATGGCTTGGTTTTTGCTCTGATATGTACTGTCAACTGTGGGATCAACAGGTGTTTGCCTTTCCAAATCATGTTCAATCAATTGAATTTACCACATGTGGACTCCAATCAAGTTGTAGAAACATCTCAAGGATGATCAATGGTAACAGGATGCATCTGAGCTCAATTTCGAGTCTCATAGCAAAGGGTCTGAATACTTATGTAAATTATCATTTTAATTTGCTAAAATTTATAAAAACCTGTTTTCGCTTTGTCATTATGGGGTATTGTGTGTAGATTGATGAGTATTTTTTATTTATTTAATCTATTTTAGAATAAGGCTGTAACATAACAAAATGTGGGAAAAGTCAAAGGGTCTGAATACTTATCTGAATGCACTGTTCTTTTTCCTATCTAGTTAATGTTATCAACCAGAGAGACATTCAAGTCTTAGCTACGATTCCTAGCTAGTTGTCTACTGCTAGTTGTAAACAGCCATGTTGACTTCCTATTTTAAAAGGCCTTGATGAGTAGAATAACTATCTAGCTAGCTAATTAACGTTAGTATTTAAAACCATCCAGTCCTATGATTTAATGTCTATCATTTACAAAGCGTTATTTGTTTCAGTGTAGATCTGCTAATGTTTTTTTTTTACCACATTTTCTAGACCAAGAATATCCACCTGTAATCTGCCAATACATTTGAAAGTACAGTACAACCCCAATCAAAGTAAGTACAGAATAACATATTTTTTGTACATTTACCCTTTTCTCAATATTGTAATAGCATGATGTTCTACTGGAAACCTGCCATTATCTCCCTCCAATGCGACACCCCCAGATGTGAGCACGCTTTAAGAAGGTTCTGGAGGAGGTGACCCGCTTCACTACTCGCTACATTTCTAATTACTGATTGGTTTGTTAATTGTATGTAGATAGTGTTAGTGTATGGTTGATTTACAGTTAAAGTTGAAGTCGGATGTTTACATACACCTTAGCCAAATACATTTAACTCAGTTTTTCACAATTCATGACATTTAATCCTAGTAAACATTCCCTGTCTTATGTCAGTTAGGATCACCACTTTATTTTAATAATGTGAAATGTCAGAATAATAGTTTATTTATTTCAGCTTTTATTTATTTCATCACATTCCCAGTGGGTCAGAAGTTTACATACAATCATAGTACTTGGTAGCATTGCCTTATTTGTTTCGGGTAGCCTTCCACAAGCTTCCCACAATAAGTTGGGTGAATTTTGGCCCATTCCTCCTGACAGAGCTGGTGTAACTGAGTCAGGTTTGTAGGCCTCCTTGCTTGCACACGCTTTTTCAGTTCTGCCCACAAATGTTCTATAGGATTGAGGTCAGGGCTTTGTGATGGCCACTCCAATACCTTGACTTTGTTGTCCTTAAGCCATTTTGCCACAACTTTGGAAGTCTGCTTGGGGTCATTGTCCATTTGGAAGACCCATTTGCGACCAAGCTTTAACTTCCTGACTGATGTCTTGAGATGTTGCTTTAATATATCCACATAATTTTCCTTCCTCATGATGCCATCTATTTTGTGAAGTGCACCAATCCCTCCTGCAGCAAAGCACCCCCACAGCATGATGCTGCCACCCCCGTGCATCACGGTTGGGATGGTGTTCTTCGGTTTGCAAATACCCCCTTTTTCCTCCAAACATAATGATGGTCATTATGGCCAAACAGTTCTATTTTTGTTTCATCAGACCAGAGGACATTTCTCCAAAAACTACGATCTTTGTCCGCATGTGCAGTTGCAAACCGTAGTCTGGCTTTTTTATGGGGGTTTTGGAGCAGTGGCTTCTTCCTTGCTGAGCCGCCTTACAGGTTATGTTGATATAGGACTCGTTTTACTGTGGATATAGATACTTTTGTACCTGTTTCCTCCAGCATCTTCACAAGGTCCTTTGCTGTTGTTCTGGGATTGATTTGCACTTATCGCACCAAAGTACGTTAATCTCTAGGAGAGCGGTATGACGGCTGCGTGGTCCCATGGTATTTATACTTGAATACTATTGTTTGTACAGTGAAACGTGGTACCTTCAGATGTTTGGAAATTCCTCCCAAGGATGAACCAGACTTGTGGAGGTCTACAATTTGTTTTCTGAGGTCTTGGCTGATTTCTTTTGATTTTCCCATGATGTCAAGCAAAGAGACACTGAGTTTGAAGGTAGGCCTTGAAATACCTCCACAGGTACACCTCCAATTGACTCAAATTATGTCAATTAGTCTATCAGAAGCTTCTAAAGCCATGACATTTTTTTCTGGAATTTTCCAAGCTGTTTAAAGGCACAGTCAACTTAGTGTATGTAAACTTCTGACCCACTGGCATTTTGATACAGTGAATTATAAGTGAAATAATCTGTCTGTAAACATTTGTTCGAAAAATTACTTGCGTCATGCACAAAGTAGATGTCCTAACCGACTTGCCAAAACTATATTTTGTTCAAAATAAATTTGTGGAGTGGTTGAAAAACGAGTTTTAATGACTTCAACCTAAGTGTATGTAAACTTTCGACGTCAACTTTATACAGTGAGGGAAAAAAGTATTTGATCCCCTGCTGATTTTGTTTGTTTGCCCACTGACAAAGAAGGAATCAGCCCAGAACTACACGGGAGGATCTTGTCAATGATCTCAAGGCAGCTGGGACCATAGTCACCAAGAAAACAATAGGTAACACACTACGCCGTGAAGGACTGAAATCCTGCAGCGCCCGCAAGGTCCCCCTGTTCAAGAAAGCACATATACATGCCTGTCTGAAGTTTGCCAATGAACATCTGAATGATTCAGAGGAGAACTGGGTGAAAGGGTTGTGGTCAGATGAGACCAAAATCGAGCTCTTTGGCATCAACTCAACTCGCCGTGTTTGGAGGAGGAGGAATGCTGCCTATGACCCCAAGAACACCATCCCCACCGTCAAACATGGAGGTGGAAACATTATGCTTTGGGGGTGTTTTTCTGCTAAGGGGACAGGACAACCTCACCGCATCAAAGGGACGATGGACGGGGCCATGTACCGTCAAATCTTGGGTGAGAACCTCCTTCCCTCAGCCAGGGCATTGAAAAAGGCAACAAAGGAGTGGCTCAAGAAGAAGCACATTACGGTCCTGGAGTGGCCTAGCCAGTCTCCAGACCTTAATCACATAGAACATCTGTGGAGGGAGCTGAAGGTTCGAGTCGCCAAACATCAGCCTCGAAACCTTAATGACTTGGAGAAGATCTGCAAAGAGGAGTGGGACAAAATCCGTCCTGAGATGTGTGCAAACCTGGTGGCAAACTACAAGAAACGTCTGACCTCTGTGATTGCCAACAAGGGTTTTGTCACCAAGTACTAAGTCATGTTTTGCAGAGGGGTCAAATACATATTTCCCTCATTAAAATGCAAATCAATTTATAACATTTTTGACATGCGTTTTTCTGGATTTTTTTGTTGTTATTCTGTCTCTCACTGCTCAAATAAACCTACCATTAACATTATAGACTGATCATTCCATTGTCAGTGGGCAAACGTTCAAAATCAGCAGGGGATGAAATACTTTTTTCCCTCACTCCATCCATCCATCCATCCATCCATCCATCCATCCATCCATCCATCCATCCATCCATCCATCCATCCATACATCCATCCATCCATCCATCCATCCATCCATCCATCCATCCATCCATCCATCCATCCATACATATATATATATATATATATATATATATATATATACACACACATACACACACACATCTATGAATTTGAGTGGTTACATTTCTCCAGCCCCATCACTTAGCTTTTTAGCGAAACTGGCAGTGAAAAATGCTTTGTCATTATTTGAATTTAGGATTCTAGCTTTAAATCCCGAAACATGTCACTACAACTCAATTCATCACTACTGGGACAAGAAAATGTGCTTACCCTAAGCCAGGGTTTCTGAAACTTGGTCCTCTGGACCCCAAGGGGTGCACGTTTTGTTTTTTGCCCTAGCACAACACAACTGATTCAAATAATAAACTAATCATCAAGCTTTGATAATTTGATTCAGCTGTGTAGTGCAATGGAGGTTCCTCAGGGGAGGAAGCGGAGGATCATCCTCCGTAAAATTGAAGAAAAATGTAAATAGTGAAACATTTAAAAAGTTATCCTTTTTAGATACAACTATAACTGCTAAACTCTTTTTACTGTACTGTATGATTGTAGCGGGTTTACTAACACGCTAGTTCTAGTAGCTTAGTCGACTATGATGTTATAATATTGTTGACAACAAAGTAGGCTGTGTGTAGCGGTTATGATATGAAGGTTTGGCTTGGAAAGGTTTTTTCGCCCCGTCACAGACAGCTGATGTGTTGTGCAATGATGACATTAACATTTACATTTTAGTCATTTAGTTAGTGAGTGCATACATTTTCATACTGGCCCCCCGTGGGAAACGAACCCACAACCCTGGCGTTGCAAGTGCCATGCTCTACCAACTGAGCTACACAGGGCCACAAGTGAAGGGAAAAGGTGAGAGGAAGAGAGTGTGTAGATGCGAGAATAAATTATACAAAGATCAAAGGATGATGCTGTATGTATGTGGCTGCTATGAAGGTGAACTGTGTTTGCGTAGGATCAGGGGTGTATTAATTCCGCCGATTCTGTTGAAAAATAAATCTTAAACGGAACAAAACGGGGATAAACATAGCTGAATTTGTCCAATAGAAATTCTCATTTGTAACTAATGATTACACCCTAGATCAGCTAGATGCAGGCAAGAGTGTGCAAGGGGGTGTTGAATATGTCAATGTCTGTCATTCATAGGCTAGGTTGTAGCAACCTCATGATGGGTATAGGGAAAATTCGAGTATCATGTAGTAGCCTAAACCTATCAATGTTACATTGAGCTGGGTGAATGGGATATGAATGACAGTCATCCAATATGCTGTAATAGAAATAAGGCCATGCTCATAAAAGAATGTGCTGTCCTCCCTCATCTTAAACGGCACCGACCACCACTGGTGTAGTGATAGGGTAAGAACCAAAACGTTCAGCCCTTGTGGTCCCTAGGACGAGTTTGGGAAAGGCTACCCTAAGCACTTTAAAGACTGTATACAAATAAAGTTGTGCAGTGTAAAGGACTTTATTTATGCTTTATCAGTGATAAACAGTTAAATATAAATGAAAACATGCATGTATTATGTGTAACTATTTGTCATATTCAATTATTTTCATGGTTGCAAAGGCGAGGGATGCAAATGCCCTGTGTGTGTGCGCGTACCTATCATCGCGTCTGTAATTTCTATAATGTATTGTTGACAAGTATATATGAACCTATAATATTTTGATTATAATTGTTTTAAATGCAGTTCCTCTTGGAAGGATTTTCTCAGAAGTACACATTTCATTCATCCACCGTGGGCTCAAGTCAACACAGTGGCCAGACAACAGGACAGAATGAGGCAGTTGATAGAATCTCGTTTCTTATGTTTCTCAGTAAAATTAACACATTTATAAAAGATTGATTACTATATATAGCTATGAATATAACTGACCAACCACCCAACTTTGGAGTAGTTAAGTCTATTTCCCTGGTTTTGAGAGGAGCTGGCTACTGTACCTGGAGACTTCCAGCAATTGCGCTAAGCTAAAGATATGCTAACTTCAATTATTTCCAAACTGCATGCAGACATACAAATGGTATCCATGAGTTCATCTGACTCTGGGTAAGTAGAAAAATGACCTTGATCTAAAAATGTCCCAGTATCCCTTTAACTGTGATTGATTGAGATTGCTTGGCACAATTAAATCAATGGCATAGTCACCAAAAGTGCCAAACCCCAACCATTTGACAGACTCAAGCAAACGCTCAAAGTAATTTTGTAAGATTCCAGTCAATATTTGAACCCAGGTCTGACTATTACAGCAGGAAGAAAACACAGCCAATACTAAAACTACAACTCTGTCTCTGGCTTTCCTTTATAGGTTCTTCCTTCCCCCCAAGACTGATAATCTACATTTACAGCAAGCTCCCTAATTACACAGGCTGATTAGTAGAGATGCTATTTTGAAAATGTGTATTTGGAGCGAGAGAAATTGACACAAAAGAGGAGTGCATGGTGGAGAGGTGGGCAGAGCCCCAGCGTGTTTCGCCTTTTGTTTCCAGTCAAGCATAGTTTCCATGGCAACCTGCTGCCGGAGACAGAGCTGAGAGTGGAAGGGTACACGCCCCTCTCTCTGAAAGAGGATGGCCAACATGAGTGTGTGTGTGTGTGCATGCGTGCGTGCATGTGTGAGAGGGAGAGAGGGAGACAGACAGACAGAGACACAGAGAGAGAGACAGCTGTTCTCCCATCATTCTGCTGATCCTACACTTCAACACAGTCTAGTTCAGAGAACGTATACAGGAACAATTCCCAAAGAGACATTATGAAGATGACTTCTTGAGCCCATCCATCTACGAACTTGAAGAGCCTAACCAAACCTTGTAAACCAACATGTATACAAATAAGATCAATACTAATAATGAATGAAACAAATTGCACCTAATATAGTGACACTTAGGGACGCTTACGTGTCTGCAACACAGTGCAGATACATAAAGAACGGATGTCACATTCTACAAAGAAGCACAATAGTGTGGAGCTGTGGTCCAGTGGTAACACTCCCGGCTCTATGCACATGTGTGACCCCTGCAGGAGACCGGGGTTCAATCTACAGTTGCGCTGTGTCTCTTCCTCATCTATCTCCCACTGTTTTTAATCTGTCTGTCAGCAAAGCATAAAAATACAAAACGAGGGTGACTCTCCATAAAAATATAACAATAGTGTGTCTATTAAGGGGGCAGGTTGTGTAATCCTACAAAGCAGTACATGAGTGTGCGTTCAACTATGTGTTAGTGTGCCTGTAGTGAAAGGACAGTACAGTACTTTGGCTCGCTCTGCATTGCTTTTCCAACCAGAAAAACAGTTTGTTTACATTTTAGTCATTTACCAGACACTCTTATCCAGAGCGACTTACAGTTAGTGAGTGCATACATTTTCATACTGGCCCCCCGTGGGAAACGAACCCACAACCCTGGCGTTGCAAGTGCCATGCTCTACCAACTGAGCTACAGGGGACTATTGCATAAGTACTACCAAACCCAATGACTCTACAGTACAGTGCAATGTTCTGTCTGTATCACGCATAAAACAAACACACACACACACACACACACACACAGTGACAGTACAGTACAATGCAATGCTCTGTGTGCCTCATGTTCTGGCTGTATCACTACAGTGACTGTGTCTGCCCCACCCAAAACTGACCCCGATTCCACTGATCTCTTCTCACACACTGGGTGGAGCTGTTGATGTTGCTGTTAGTGTGTTCTCAATGTACACTGCCAGCCATTTTCAATATCGGTCTCCACCCTATTATGCAAGCCTTGTTTTTCCTCTCCTTCGTCCTCTCTCCTCTTCCAGAGAGCAGACACCCAGCGTTTAAAACGTCCGTCTCAGCGGACCCTCCCAATTACCCAATGTGTGTGTGTGTGTGTGTGTGTAAATGGGAGGGTCCGAGAGGGAGTGACAGACAGCAACCTCAGATAAACAAGGTTCTTTGACAACAATCTGCTCCCCAGTATACAGCTCCAGTCCACTTGACAGAAACACCCAAAGTCACTGGTGGTTTAAACACGCCGACTGTAAAACCACACCCAAAACAGAAGGTTCAGTCAGGGCCACACCAGCCAAGTCTTGCACACACACATACAAGCATGCACACAGGCATTCATGCACTCACGCACACATGAACATAAATTACACACAAACGTTCTCTCTCTCTCTTGCTCTGTCTTTACCCCATTTAACCTGAAAACATTCCTCCTAACTTCTCAAAGACAAAACAATTAGAAGACAACATTTGTTAAAACAGCAGTAACAGTTGCAATTTTTTTTTTACTGAAGAACATTCAGTCTTGTACAGTCGTGGTCAAAAGTTTTGAGAATGACAAGTATTGGTCTTCACAAAGTTCGCTGCTTCAGTGTTTTTAGATATTTTGGTCAGATGTTACTATGGTATACTGAAGTATAATTACAAGCATTCCATAAGTGTCAAAGGCTTTTATTGACAATTACATTAAGTTTACGCTAAGAGTCAATATTTGCAGTGTTGACCCTTCTTTTTCAAGACCTCTGCAATCCGCCCTGGCATGCTGTCAATTAACTTATGTTTTCTTTGTGCTGATTTGCTTTAACTCGCAGTGGTTCTAAATGAGTAGTTGTTTAGTAAGTCAGGGATCATCAACAAAATTCAGCCGTGGCACGGTTTTTCTTGAGCGGATGTCATGGGGCTGGAACATAATTACAAATCATTTGTAGACTGCAAATTGACCGCAAGAAGCCCAAACAGATATAATATTTGACTAAAACATAATCATTTCAAACCTTGCTTACATTTGTATACGATCACATACTTTATATCTCTCTAATATGCGTGGGAATACTTTGGAAAATATTTAGAAAATTAAAATCACTGAGCTGATTTGCTGGTGTTTTTACAGTTTTTTATATCCAACAAGCCCGGCTTGGCTCCCCCAGTGATTTTACCCACACACCGCTAATGACAAGCAGGTACTCTCCATTTGACAAGGAGCAGAAGTCAACACTCACTTCAGTCCATGGGGCAGCTGGGAGTGGAGTCATTTGAAGAGGTGCATGGAATGGCATGTTGGTCACTGCCTGGCATGCAATACAGGTTTTGATGAAGTCCTCAACTCTCTGATCAATATTAGGAAACCATACTTTTTCACGAAGGAGCTTTGTTGTCTTTACAACTCCTTTGATGGACTTCACGGGCAATCTCTATTACCCGGCACTGTAGTGCTGCTGTTATGACAAGTGTATTTCCCCTGAACAGCAGATTGGTTGCAGTCAGTTCAGATTTCTTATTGTGTAGGCAGCGTAGTTGAGACTGTTGGGTTGGAGATAGGTCAGCTGTGTGTTCCAGAAGTGTGTGCCACTGTCCTGTTCTAACACCATTGATGACTGAGTAGACATGGTTGGTGGTACCCCGCTGAGCTCCTGAGTGGCGCAGTGGTCTAAGGAACTGCATCGCAGTGCTAACTGTGCCACTAGAGATCCTGGTTCGAATCCAGGCTCTGTCGCAGCCGGCCGCGACCGGGAGACTCATGGGCGGCGCACAATTGTCCCAGCGTCGTCTAGGGTAGGGGAGGGAATGGCCGGCAGGGATGTAGCTCAGTTGATAGAGCATGGTGTTTGCAACGCCAGGGTTGTGGGTTCGATTCCCACGGGGGGCTAGTATAAAAAAAATATGTAATCACTAACTGTAAGTCGCTCTGGATAAGAGCGTCTGCTAAATGACTAAAATGTAAAATGTAAATGTAACATGGGTCAGACCGTGTTGCTGCTTGGATTTCAGCCAGTTTCATAGCACGCAGAACATTGTGCTTGACCACAAAGCGGACATGAGCTTCTGCTAGCTCTGAGGCATGATTGTCGTTGGGCCCCTGCTCTGGGACTGGGTGTCTGGAGAAGTTATCAGCTCGGTTGCCAGATCCAGCCTTGTAGACAACAGAGAACGTGAAGTTTTGAAGTTTCAGCAACCATCGTTCTATTCTTGGAGGAGGGGAGGACGAGGGCTTGTTGAAAGATAGGCACAAGCAGCTTGTGGTCAGTAATGACAGTGAAGGTGTGTCTCACTAAGTAGAGCTGAAGATGAAAGCAACCCCAGATGATGCCCAGTGCCTTCCTCTCCATCTGTGAATAGCATCACTCCACGTGTGCATTTTTCCATCCGAACCAGTCTGGGTTAAGACTGCGCCAAGACCCACTGGGCTGGCATCCACCACGATTTCAGTGTCTTTTGTTTGATCTAAGTAGTCAATGACTGTGTCACTGCTGAGTCTGTTTTTCAGCAAAAAAAATTGTACCCTAAAATGATCCCAGTTGGTCTTTTTTTGTGAGTTCTCTGAGGGGTTGTTTCCTGGTGGCCAGGTCTGGAATGAAAAGCCCACAGTTAGTCACAAGGCCTAAGAAGCTCTGGATTTCTTCAGGGTTCTGAGGAGCTGTGGTCTGTTTGATTGCTGCAACCTTTTGGGGTCTGCAGAAAACACATAGCACTGTTGTTTTGTTGAACTCACACATGGCAGCATTGACAGTCAAGTTGCAGTTCCGTAGTCGTGTGAGGACTTTCTCTAAACGCTCATCATGTTCTAGTTGAGTTGAGCCACAAACCAGTATGTCATCGCTAATGTTCAGAACACCTGGGATCGTGTTTTGAAAGATTTCTGCAGCTGAGGATATCCCAAAGTTGAGGTGTTTGTAGCGCCACAGGCCACCAAAGTGGTGATGTAGAGGATGCAGCTCAAGTTGGTGGTACCCCGCTGTCTGGTCGAGTTTTGGGAAGACTTTTGCACTATTAAGGTCTGTTATCATGTCGTCAACCATTGGCGTGAGGTGCCTCTCACGTTTGACAGCCTGATTTGTACGTCTCATATCCACACACACTCTGATTTTGCCAGGTTGCTTTGGTTTGGGAACTACAACTATGGGTGAGACCCAGGGCCATTTGCAGGGCACTCTCCTTGGTGAAATATCGAAAAGTTGCTCCCCACCACAGTGGAGTAGCATGGCACGTTTCCATGCATGATCTTTGATGTTCAACGCTAACAGGATATTTTCTTAACATTTCAGCCACTTCTCCCAGTTTGTGGCTAATATGTTATTAGCTTGATAGCTAGCTGGAAAAGTTTGTGGCTAGCTGACGTTTCCATAATTAATCAGAATAAACTAATGAAAAACAATGTAAGGGTTCAAACTAAATCCACTAAATCATTGTCACCATTTGTGGTGTAGCTGTTCTTAGTAATAAGAGGGGAATCTTACTGTAAGGAATATGTTAAACTTATTTTCCTTCTGTCCCGTACTATGATATTGTATATCCTGTTTCTCTCTCCGGGTATCTCTCCCATAGCCCATAACTCTTGTGCGCTCTTAAGGCCGAAATCAAATTTTTGTATCTACCTATCAATTTTTAGATTTAAATTTTTTTTATTCAGTAATATTAATAATTTCAAAAAGTAAACATAAATGTATAAAACTTGATGACAATTTATATTTTCTTTGGTTTATCATACTACCATCAACATTTTCATGAATTTTAACCACTTTAAATGGACATACATCAGTAAGTTCAAAGCCTACATTAAATAACACTTAATTTAAAAGCCAATTAAATAAAGAATGTTACAAACTGGACTATATTTATTAACTTACTTTGAAGAGATGGTGATTGTGTCTAAATAAGCATTTGGCAGTCTAAATTCAGTGTACTTGTCTGTAGTCCGTTCCTGCAGTCAAATGACCTAGAGGCCTTATGAGTGGAATGTTATTAATATATACATATATATATATATATATATATATATATATAAATATATATACATATACAGTGGGGAAAAAAGTATTTAGTCAGCCACCAATTGTGCAAGTTCTCCCACTTAAAAAGATGAGAGAGGCCTGTAATTTTCATCATAGGTACACGTCAACTATGACAGACAAAATGAGAAGAAAATAATCCAGAAAATCACATTGTAGGATTTTTAAAGAATTTATTTGCAAATTATATGGTGGAAAATAAGTATTTGGTCAATAACAAAAGTTTCTCAATACTTTGTTATATACCATTTGTTGGCAATGACACAGGTCAAACGTTTTCTGTAAGTCTTCACAAGGTTTTCACACACTGTTGCTGGTATTTTGGCCCATTCCTCCATGCAGATCTCCTCTAGAGCAGTGATGTTTTGGGGCTGTCGCTGGGCAACACGGACTTTCAACTCCCTCCAAAGATTTTCTATGGGGTTGAAATCTGGAGACTGGCTAGGCCACTCCAGGACCTTGAAATGCTTCTTACGAAGCCACTCCTTCGTTGCCCGGGCGGTGTGTTTGGGATCATTGTCATGCTGAAAGACCCAGCCACGTTTCATCTTCAATGCCCTTGCTGATGGAAGGAGGTTTTCACTAAAGATCTCACGATACATGGCCCCATTCATTCTTTCCTTTACACGGATCAGTCGTCCAGGTCCCGTTGCAGAAAAACAGCCCCAAAGCATGATGTTTCCACCCCCATGCTTCACAGTAGGTATGGTGTTCTTTGGATGCAACTCAGCATTCTTTGTCCTCCAAACACGACAAGTTGAGTTTTTACCAAAAAGTTCTATTTTGGTTTCATCTGACCATATGACATTCTCCCAATCCTCTTCTGGATCATCCAAATGCACTCTAGCAAACTTCAGACGGGCCTGGACATGTACTGGCTTAAGCAGGTGGACACGTCTGGCACTGCAGGATTTGAGTCCCTGGCGGCGTAGTGTGTTACTGATGGTAGGCTTTGTTACTTTGGTCCCAGCTCTCTGCAGGTCATTCACTAGGTCCCCCCGTGTGGTTCTGGGATTTTTGCTCACCGTTCTTGTGATCATTTTGACCCCACGGGGTGAGATCTTGCGTGGAGCCCCAGATCGAGGGAGATTATCAGTGGTCTTGTATGTCTTCCATTTCCTAATAATTGCTCCCACAGTTGATTTCTTCAAACCAAGCTGCTTACCGCAGATGCAGTCTTCCCAGCCTGGTGCAGGTCTACAATTTTGTTTCTGGTGTCCTTTGACAGCTCTTTGGTCTTGGCCAAAGTGGAGTTTGGAGTGTGACTGTTTGAGGTTGTGGACAGGTGTCTTTTATACTGATAACAAGTTCAAACAGGTGCCATTAACACAGGTAACGAGTGGAGGACAGAGGAGCCTCTTAAAGAAGAAGTTACAGGTCTGTGAGAGCCAGAAATCTTGCTTGTTTGTAGGTGACCAAATACTTATTTTCCACCATCATTTGCAAATAAATTCATTAAAAGTCCTACAATGTGATTTTCTGGATTTTCTTTTCTCAATTTGTCTGTCATAGTTGACATGTACCTATGATGAAAATTACAGGCCTCTCTCATCTTTTTAAGTGGGAGAACTTGCACAATTGGTGGCTGACTAAATACTTTTTCCCCCCACTGTGTATATATATATATATATATATATATATATATATATATATATATATATATATAATAAAAATAAGGAATAACCCTTGAATGAGTAGGTGTGTCCAAACTTTTGACTGGTACTGTATATATAGTACCAGTCAAAAGTTTGGACACACCTAAGGAGTGGCCACACAAAATATTGACACTTTGGCCTCAATTTGGACATTTTCACTTAGGGGTGTACTCACTTTTGTTGCCAGCGGTTTAGACATGAATGGCTAAACCGCTGTGTTATTTTGAGGGGACAGCAAATGTACACTGTTATACAAGCTGTACACTCACTACTTTACATTGTAGCAAAGTGTCATTTCTTCAGTGTTGTCACATGAAAAGATATACTCAAATATTTAGAGACAGAGAGACAGAGAGACAGAGAGACAGAGACAGAGACAGAGACAGACAGACCAAGCCTGCTTTTTGTCTCACCTTTGCTATGGTGGCTCTTGTGATTATCCAGCAGAGGTAGCATGATGGCATTGTTGTGAAGGCTGGAGGGCGAGCGCACGGCTGTGGTGTACATGAGGGGCAGTGACTGTACCACCACAGGGATACGATGCAGGTGGTGGCCCCCCATCTTTCCCCCTACTCCTCCTCCTATGCCCTGTACCCCTCCCAGGTTCAGGGGGCTGGAGGGTGGCGGCGGCACAGGGTGCAGGATGTGCAAAAACTGCTGCTGATGATGATGATGACCCTGGACACCGGCTCCAGGGGCCACCAGGGGCCCGGGTGTGAGCACGGACGAGGCGGATGTGATGACAGATGGAGAGGAGGATGACGATGATAATGAAGAAATGGAGGACGGAGAGAAAGCAGAAGTGACAGGAGAAGCGGTGTAGGTGATGGAGGGGGGTGAGGGGCGGAGTTTGTTGATTGACAGGTCGACAGGCTCGGTCTGCGTCTGGAAATGAGGGTCGTGGGAGAGCAGGTCCTCAGGAGGTTCAGGTTTGACTTTGCTCAGGAGGAGGGGGACAGCGTCCATCGTGGGGTAGCGGTGTACTTTGGGGGACTAGAGAGGAGAAGAGAGACACAAATCAGAACAAATGACTCAACCTCTATATTAGTCATGTGATGTTTGTGCCTTTGGTATGCATACCACAAAACCCTGCCAAGGGAGACACACTTTTGGCCTTTGGGGGATTGAGGGAGGAAAAGAGACGTGTCAAAACATCCATGTTCTCTATGATCTACATATAATTATTTGTTTGTCTAAATGCAGTGCCTTCAGAAAGTATTTATCCACGTTGACTTATTCCACATTTTGTTGTGTTTAGGATTGCAAATTTCAGTCAATTTTGCTGCCGACTAACCGACCCTCATTAAATCGGTCAACAAACGGTAAAATATTTTCCAAACAGTAATATGATGTGACCAACAGAAAATACTATTAGAGATCTGTATATAATGACACAACTCTTATTTTTCCAACCTAACAATGAGAGTCGGCCCAAGGCGGGAAGGCAAGCGACAAGCTTAGGCCCAAAATAAGCCCATAGAAATGTATTGGGCTTATTTTGGACAGATTTTGGTGATAGTGAAACCTCTTGCTTTGCCTCTTCCTCTCTGATACTATGCATGCACTGGACATTTTTCACTAACCGCTTAATGGAAACCTGCAACAATAGAAAGCCTATCATCTTACAGTTTAAAAGGCTATAGCCTATTATTGAACATGCAACTCCTGTAATGAAGCAGCTAATAACATGTAATTTTCAAACATTTGCCAAAATACAATTCGCGGACAACACCATTCTAAACCTAATGCGAGCAGCTGTGACAGAGATTAAAATCTCTGTTAGAAATTTTGAAAGAGGGGGAATCTAATACCAACAACTATGATGGGTTGCTAATATTACTAAGATTGTGCCTTTGCCTTCTGGACTAAGATAGAAAGTTGATATGAAAACCAATAGAACAGGAGAGAAATGCTGGTTAATGGCATGAGGAAGTTTTATAAAATAATTGCCTCCATGTTTCTACGGATGGACTACTTTGAAGCAAGGTAAGACATGCCTCATTATTCGAAGTAAGGTAAAACATTCAGTGTACTGTCCTCCTTAAGGTGTATGCAACCATAATTTGACAGCCAGCCAAACTCCAATTAAGAACCGAACGAGTCAGGGATTTCCATAAACCTCCAGTTTTATAGTTGAAACGGAGTAAAACTGTAACAATACAGAAAAATTAAATTATTGGAGCAGCTCAGACTAAAAGGCAATATAAATGCACAACAGTCTAACCGATGTTTCATAGTCACATAGTGAACAATACAATACTTGACCAACACTGTACACAGAAAACATATGTATCCTGCTTGAATATTGTTCTAAACAGGATTAGCATCTAAATAACATGTAAGCTAACTTAAGTGAGAAGAGAAATCACCTGTAGAGAGAATCTAGGCAGGCTAGCAAGGGAGTACATGTAATCGATTTACTTAAAAACTCAACCTGCAGAAAAGACTTACAATACTAAGAGATTAATATCTTAGAAATTATTTGTACTTACAGGCAATGCTTTACGACGGCTTAACAAGAAGGATGGCAGAAGATAAACAGCAGTTTTACACTACTCTTTTCCAACATAGAGGCTGAACTGCATAATTTCCTGTTTTACCACCAACAAAGAAGTAGCACAGCATTGTACACGTTAGCTGAGGCTACACAAAACAGCCACTGGATGGCGCCAAATAAAAAGGTGCTTGGCCAAAAGAATAGAAGGCAGAAAGAAGCCACTATTAATTAACGTTACACACATACCTCAAAGACTGGCAAACACTCAGTCTTCTTTGGCTAAAAGGAGTATGACCTCTTAGACGGATCTCAGGAACTTCTTGGCGGTCCCCTGAGCAGTAATCTTGAGTTCCACTTTGCGCACCTGCACTGATGCCAACCTCTGCATTTGTTCGGCTGGCCCATCAGGTCTGGCTTGAGAGATCGAGCAACATGGATGAGGAATGCGATAGCTATCAGTAGGGATTTCCAGGTGGAGAAGTACTCGAAGCGCTCTGAGGTAAGTGGCTTGTCTTTTACTTGAGTGATGTAGCTTGTCACCTGGGGGCGAATTTCACCATCCAAGTCTGGACTGACCAGCTCGAAGGGAACTTGCGTCTCTGTGTGAACTTGGTTTGGTTTGTACAGGAATGCTAGTCCCGTGAACCTTGAGGCGAGTTCGGAGGGATTGTCTTCTGTGGGCACGTAGTGCCACTGCTCTGGGCGTGTTGATTGACGGATGCATTGGACTCTGTTGTGCATATACACGTAGAAGCGTTTAGTCTCATTGTATATGTATCCCAAGACTACTTTACTGTTGCAGTAGAAGTTAACGATGTCTGATTGGTCTATTTCGTCTGGGATGAGCTCTGCCATTTCTACTGCCAACACTGCTCCACATAGTTTGAGGTGGGGTATGGTAGGCTCAGATTGAGGGGTTAACTTGGCTTTTCCCAAAACAAAGCCCACTTCACTTTGTTCATCTTCATCAGCAGCTCTGATGTACGTCACTGCACCGATGGCTTTGTTGGAAGCATCTGAAAACATACATAGCTCTGTGCGTTTTGCGTTTGAGAGGCAGTTCTTAGTGTAGGTGCGTGCGATATGCTACTTCAGATCCTGTAGTGAGCCTCTCCATGCTTCCCATTCTTTCAGCTTTGATTCGGGGAGTGGTGAATCCCAGTCACAAGTGTCTGAGGAGAGTTCCCACTGTATGGCTCTGCCCTGTATGGTTACTGGAGCTACCAGGCCGAGAGGGTCGAAGGCACTGTTTAACGTTGACAGGACTCCACGTCGTGTGAATGGTTTGCTGCTGACTGATACTCTGAAGATGAAGGTGTCTGTTGCTATTTCCCAGCATAAATCAAGACTGCGTTGCATGGGTGTGGTTTCTCCTCCGAGGCCTAAATCTTTTACGCCTTGGCATGGTCTTCTTGGGGAAATGCCTCCATCGCAGTCGCACTGTTTGATGCAACCTGGTGCAGTCGTAGGTTTGACTCCGTGAGTGATGCTTGTGTTCTCGTAGCAGGTCGATGGCCTTTGTGTCTGTGGGCAGAGACTTGAGCCCATCATCCACATAGAAATGTCTCTCCACGAACTGTCAAGTGTCTGCGCCGTGGTGTTGCTAACCTTCTTGAGCAGCTCGCCTGAGCCCGTAGATGGCGACGGCAGGAGATGGGCTGTTGCCAAAGACATTGACCTTCATCCTGTACTCGATTATGTATTTTGTGATGTCATTGTCTCTGTACCATAAGAATGTCAGGTAGTCTGTAATTTTCACTCACAACAAAACATCTGTGGATATCTGCCGTTACTGCTACAGGTTCTTTCCTGAAGCGGGTGAGAACTCCCAGAAGACTGTTGTTTAGGTCTGGGCCTGTGAGCAGCACGTTGTTGAGGGAGAGAACATACTGCTGCGCGCTGGAGTTGAAAACCACCCTGATCTGACCCGTCTTTTGTGGATGGTAGACCCTGAACGTCGGGAAGTACCAACACTCTTCTCCATCTTTCAGTGGGGGTGCTGGCTCTGCATGGTTGTTTACGAATATCTTCTCCATGAAGGTGACAAACTGCTCTTTCATCTCAGGCTTCTTGTCCAGGCTATGGCGTAGAGAGGTGAGACGGGTGAGCGCTTGTGTGCGGTTGCTCAGGAGAGGTGGCCTGGGTACTCTGAAGGGGAGAGGAGCTACCCAGCTGTGTGTTTGTCTTTGTAGAATGCTTTGCCCATAGTCTTTAACAAAAGACTGTGTCCTCAATGGAGAGAGCTATGTTGTTGTCATTCTCTGTCCTGTCAAACACTGTGTGTCCGAGTTAGTCTTCAGCTGCTTTGTGAATAGGGCTTTCCTTGAATATATGGGACAAACCATCCTGTTGCTCCCTGCCGTAGCTCACCTTTTCTTTCAGATGAATGTAGCTCTGACACGAAGTGAGGAAGGAGGGCCGTCCATTCTCCAACACATTCGTTTTGAAGCTGTTCACGAATGGCTTGTGTGCATTTCCCAGGCGTACTTCGCCCACTAGGACCCAGCCTAAGTCGAGTCTCTGAGCAAAGGGGGCATTGTGTGGTCCATTGATTCGTCTCACTTTATGCACTCTGACGATGTCTCTCCCAAGCAACAGAAGGATCTGGGCACTTTGATCAAGCTCTGGAATGTGGGTGGCCACAGACTTCAGGTGGGCGTGGTGAAGGGCTACCCTTGGGGTTGGTATTTCTGATCTGTTATTGAGGATCTCATTGCATTCGATGAGTGAAGGGCTTAACCCTCCATTCACTGCCTCAATCTGGAAGCCATCCGCCTTTCTTCCTGCGGTTTCCATGACTCCAGCGCAGATCCTCAGAAAGTAGGGAGTTGGGTTGCCCTGAATGCTGAACAGATTGAAGAAGTCTGATTTTGCCAATGAGCGGATGCTCTGGTCGTCTAGTATAGTGTACAGCTTGACAGCGCTTTCACGCTGCCCCTTGGGATATAATCTTACTAGGCAAATCTTTGAGCATGAACGGGCTGTAAGACCCTCACCACATACCTCAGTACATTGGGAGCTGATTGTGGGTGCAGTGGTAGGGTTTCCTTCCCCCTCCCCACCGTTCTCTGACATAGAGCCAGGGGGCAGGGGTTGGATGCATTGCTGTGCTGTGCCGTTCGCTTTCACGCTCTTTACATTTCAATGCTATGGTGCAGTCTTTTTCCAGGTGGGAGGATGAAGTACAGCACTTGAAACATATTCCCTTCTCTTTGAGAAAGGCCTTGCGCTCATCGATGGTTTTGGCTCTGAAGCCTCTGCATTTTCTGAGCGGATGTGGTTTATTGTGGATGGGGCAATCTTCTTTCTTTTCTGTGGTTACTGTGCTGGGGTCAGCAGTGGCGGTGACGTCCGTTTTGTTAACAGATATAGGGGTTCTCGTGTTCCTCATGGCTGGGTACTCGCTTCTCGCAGGTCCACTGCCACCACTATTAGAAAGTGAAAAGCTTGGGACGTTTCTAGTTCTTGCTTCATCGCATATGAACTTTGTGAAGAA